CTGTGGGGGGGGGGGGGGAATCACCTTCTTTTGGCTTCTTTGAATTTTTACGTATCTTTGCCACTGAAAGCTCTCAGTTTCCTGTGGGTCCTACTGATAAATTATTGGAATCTGAGTGAACTAGTTACATTATTGTTTGGTGCTTTTTTTTTCATTCTCAGTCAGCTGATGTAATCTTACAGCTCTGCCTTTTAGAGAATAAGGGCACTTCCTCTAAGCTCCATTTTGGGATGATAACAGCAGCAGCAGCATATTGCACCCCCCCCCCAAAAGAAAAGTGAGAGAGAAAGGAAGAAAGAAAAAAGGCAGAAGATGAAACAGGATCAAACAAAGAGCAGGGAAGCATGCAAGGCCAAGGCACCATAGGCAATGTGGAGGTAGAAAAATCAGCAGGACTCAACAGGAACATCACAATAAGGATCCATGGGAGGACTTTTTTTTTTTTTGAGTAGCAGAAGCATCTGAAACCAGCTGAAAGACAGATTCCACTGGAGGATATGAGATCCAGAGCACCAAGTGATGCTGTGCCAGGAGATTCCTTATCCATTTTCCCCTTTCCCTCTTGATGGAGGAACCAAAGAGAGGAGATTTGCAGGTTGACAAGTAGCAGGGAGAAAAGCAGAAGTCACGGCAGGTGGGGTGCAGGCGTGCATGACCATATAGGTGGGTAGCTACCAGCCACCTTCTTTCCCCCAAACAGGCAACCTTAAGGATAGTGGTGAGGCCAGGGCAGCACCAACAATGGTGACCTCCCCCCTCCCATTTCAAACCAGAAAGCTGGATGGGCCAGCAGCCCTTGGGAGTGAAAAGAGGAGGCAGGAAACAACTTACTCCTCATGCTACTTCAAACTCCAGGAGATGTAAGAGCCTCCCCATCAGATGGGGCAGCTCCTGTGAGAAACAACCCATCAGAGTTAAGGCAAATCTTGGCAAATGATCCTATTCCTCCCCTGGATCATCTTCAGGATATTCATGGATTCCTCCTCATACTCTGGGGGGGAACCAGAGAATGAAAGTGGAGAAGTAATAGGCTTGAGAAGCATAGGAGGAAGAACCTCAGGAGACAAGAAAAGATGCTACAAGAAGCATTTTGCCCTACTTTCTCAGCCTCCAGGGTTCTGACTCTTCCACTACTTAGGAAGACGGTTAAACACGTCTTCTTTGCCAAGCTTTTAATTGTTAACAACATTAATGGCTGACTGAATTTTCATTTTATATGCATTAATGTCTATTGTTTTATATTATTGTAAGCCATCTTGAGAATTGGAATAAACAGAAACGCAGGTTATAGTGAATAATCAAAACAAACAAAAATAGCACACGTTTGATCAATTTAAAGAGATAATTAGGGCCGCTAGTATGAGTATTTCATTGAACAATTAGATATGATTTGGACCAGCCCTGCCCTATATCAATTTCACAAACTTTGACTTTTTTTCTCACATCACAGTAAAGTTCTCACCATATCAATTAAAGAGGCAGGTCATGCCTGGCTCAAAGAAATTTCTGAACATCTCCATTTAACAACAACAACAACAAAACACTGAGGCCTATTATTCTGGAAATAGTTAAAGAAGTGGAACCTTTAGGGCTATGTGTGTCAGGCCTAGCCCAAGGAACTCCAGGAGACAATGCCAATTCAATCCAGCTATGTTTATTAGCTACAACCTCTAGCAAGAATCTTCC